ATAGGCCGGGCGGCAATGTGTTAACCACAATGGACACAAGCCACCACTCACTCCAATGGTAACACTCTCGACCTCGTTTTCTCCCACCTCTGCACTTCTTGCAACACCTCTAACTCCTCTTTCCCAATTCATCTTTAAGGACAGCACATGAGAGAGATTCTTCGCCTACCTAAAACAGGAAACACAATGTCCACAATCAAATAAAAAGAGCACAGTCAGCTAGTGTCCTCAGTATTTCCCCTGCCCTAGCAGGAACATAAGAATGGTTTGTTATTTTCCCTCAGGCCTTCATGCTAGTTGCAGGGGCCTCCTTTGTATGTGCTTCCCCATGATTCCGGGATAGTGGACTTGAAGGGGTTGCATATCTGGGGTTTTCTAGGCTACTTTTGTAAGTATCCCAGTTGTGGGACCTTCCCTCCCCATTACCTTCTAGGTTTCCCCAAGGTTCCTTCTCCACTGGTGAAGCAGCCATCTTTGTGGGCGCCGAGGCTCTAGCGGAGCCCTCCTGTCAGGGAACAAGAAGATTGCCGCAGCGCATGAATCTGCGCATGCGCGGGATCCTGACAAGGCATACAGGCAGGCGGGCACTAGGACCCAGGCGTGCCTGTCACCAATGACGGCGCCGGGCTGGCACTAGGACCCAGGTGCGCCTATCGGCGCTGGGCAGGCTATTTAAAAAGCACCTCGGTGCTGATTCAGTGCTGCCTGGTCTTCAGCTTCCCCCCTGTGTCCTGCCTGTTTCAATACGTGTTCCTTGTTGCTCACCCGGCTTGTTCCTGACTCTGAGTACTCTCCTGTCCCTGGTTCCCGACTTTGGCTCTGATCCTGACTTTGGCTTCTCCCTTTGATTCGGTACCACGCTGCCCGACTGTTATGACCCTGGCTATCCTGCAACTCCGCTCCAGTCTTGTCTCCTGGCTGCATACCTGGCTCCGTCGTGCATCTGGCCTGGGCTCCTACAACTCCACTCCAGTCCTGTCTCCTGGCTGTATACCTGGCTTTGCCGTGCATCTGGCAATCCACCAAATCTGCCTGGGCTATCGCTGCAGTACCCTAAGCAACTGATACCCTGCCTACCAAGGCCATCATCCGCAAGAGCCACAAGCAAACCACTGGCGCTCTTGTCCCCCTGTTCCCTAGACTCCCTCTGTTCCAACCTCAGCGGGGTCAGGACTAGTGACACAAGTGAGGCCGACCTCGTCAATTCAGTCTCCCATCAGGTACGTGACACCTCCCATACTCACATTTGTTCAATCTCCTTGGTGGCTGGCTAAGCTCCTGATGTTTTCTGCTGATTGGTATGGATGGGTCATAGCCGCTGGCTTCCCCAAATCTTTTGGTGGGAGAAATGCATGGCTGGAGCAGGGTCATACTCTTCTCCCCTGAGGATCAGTGAGGCTGGAGCAGAGGCATCACGAGTCTCTACTTCCAGATGGGGGACGCATGTCTTCTGAGGTGAATTATGGTGTGTAGGCCAGGACAGAATGCAGCTTGCTATGCCACAGGTCCCCCTAAATGGACTGCAATATGGCGGTTTCTAAGTATGCCCTGATGCCAGCATCCACAGAGTCCAGGGAGGGAGTGCAAATGGATGTGGATGGAGCAATAGGTGGACCAGGAGTATTACAGCAGACTTCATCTGGTCAGCAAGGCTACACAATGCAGTCTGATTCTGCCATGACAGCTGCTATAAATCTGACAGATGGCTCCAAGGTAGGTTGCTTAGAGTTTTGTTTCCTTATAACTCTCCTTCCTATCATACCCATACTGTGGAGAGGCAGAGTGTGGGGTAACTCTTATGAGGATGCCATCTCTTTGGGTATTGGTTGCTATGGGTGTTTGTGTGCCTCTTACAAGCACAGAGTGAATATGCTTTGGGTTCCTGTACACCATTAGTATAGTAATTTGGAGGCAGAGGCCTTAAACACCTGTCAATCTGCAGAGAAGTGATCAGCAGAAGCTGGAACCTGTTAACTCCTTCCTAAATTTGTTACACTTGTGCATGTGCAGGGATTTTGTGGTCTGCTTACTCTAGGTTTACCATCAATTACTCTCCTAATTTCAAAAAGGGGAGATGACAGCCTATGGGGACCTGCTGTGCTTGGATTTGGGCAATAACCCACCCCTAGGCTGAACTAGAAACATAAAATGTGGATCCTGCAACATTTAGTTGACAGGCTTCTGGGCTAAACCTCCATGCAAGGGTTGCATAGACACACCTGTGTTTAATGATTGCTCGTTAATGCCTGCAAGTGTTGCACACTTCAGGGCTAATATGATTGCCACTGGTCAGCAGCTTTCATTTGGGAGAGACAAAGGGCTCGTTCACACTTGACTGTTTTACCAACTCTTGCCAAATTCCCCTATAGCGTTTGGCAAGCGTTGGTCCGGCGTTTGTGGAGCTTTTTTTAACGCTCGGCAAATGCCGCATGCGCGGTTCAGCGGCGGTTGCTAGGTGTTTGCCGAGTGTTAAAAACGCCCCACAAACGCCTATAATGAAGTTTGGATGATGTTACCCGCTCCGCAAACGCCCCACAACCGCGTCGCAACTGCACACACCGGGCGTTTGCGAAGCAGCACCATTGACTAGAATAGGAGGCTTCAATGCCTCCTGACTCGACCAGAGGCGTCCGTTTTGCAGCACCGTGACGCGTCGCTACCGCTCCCGTTAAAACAGCACCATGTGCTGCAATGGGCAGAATTGTCCGAGGCGTTTGGGAAGCTGTAAAAACGCTTCCCAAACACCTTTCTGCCGCTTGAAAACAAGGCTAGTGTGAACGTAGCCAAAGCCTTCCAGCTCATAAGGTCTCCAGTTCAAATCTAGTGTAAGCCTGGGTTCACATACATGCAGCTCCATATATCGCATGTGATTCGCACAGGAACCGCACCGCATTCCTGTGCAAATCACATGCAATTTGTGTGCGGTGCGACACAGAGCCTTACATTTTGTATGGCTCTAGGCGCGCACACACCCGCACCAAAAACATGCAGGACCCGCTTTTGGTCCGCAGCAGAATCACTAGTATTCACACCTATGCGATCTTCACATCGCACCGCGTTTTGTGGACCGTTTTCGAGGTGTTAATTTAACATACACACCCACAGTGGTTCTCATGAACGGGGTGCGATTCTGATGCAGTGCGGAACTCGCACTGAAAACGCTGCAAATTCCTCACCGCATCAGTGTGAATCAGGGCTTATGGGTGTAAAAGCAATCGGTGTAAAAAAAAAAAAAAATCTTCATCACCCCCCCCCCCCCATGTGGCGAAACAGTTCCGCCTCAGTTTCCTTGTGCGGAGCGATGCGTCTTAGCTAATGGTCCCCTTTTCCGGCAAGTCTTCCAGTACTCTGCCAAGGCAGGTATTAGAGCTCAAAGATAACCCTTCCCCGATATCCCAAACCATGAGTCAGAACTTCGTGTAGGGTAAATGAACAAATCTTTATTGCACAGCTCAGTATATACAGCACATGCTGGTAGTAATCCCTGCCCCCTTCAGCCCACCCCCACCAGTCTGGCAACAGGATTTCCCCACCCACAGCAAAACTCTACAACACAGCAGCAATCAGCACAGCATGAAATCTAGAGAAGTGAAAGACTACAAGTTCACATTACCCTAAACAAACAGTGTAGAATGCCTGTCTACATAACAGCTGCTAAACATATACAGCTTTAAAAAGGGTAGAATGGGAAGACCACTTAACAAGGGGATAAAACTAGAACAGAAAGGGCAAAATGTTATCACAAAGGGACGGTTCGTCACACCCATAGGCTTTTTTGAGTTTGGGCAAGGACACAGGGACCCCATGATCCCCTATTGCCCGGGGGCCCCATGAGTTGTCAGTCCGCCCCTGGTCACACCCCACAAGTAGTAATGTCACTATGGTGACACTGTACTTTTAGGTGACAGTATGTTAAAAAAAAACAAAAAAAACATAAATGATAATATAAAAATGTAAAAAAAGTTTAACAAATTACAACTTTTGGTTATAAACTAATTTGGGTTTTATTTTTTATTTTTTTTACTAAAAATAACTGAATACATTTTAGCCAATATTTATTAAGAAAGATTATTTGTTTGCAAAATTTTATAAGAAACTTTTTTTTTTTTTTTCAAAATGTTTGGACTTTTTCAATTATATAGCAAAAAAAATAAAAATTCCTTTGAATAAATACTACCAAAATAAAGTTTATCTGTCTCAAAAAAATGCTACAAAATTCATATGGGTACAGTGTTGCATGACCGTGCAATTGTCATTCAAAGTGTGATAATACTTGAAGCTGAAAATTGGCCCGGACAGGAAGTGGTTAAGGCTTCTTGTTACCCTCCTTTTGAGGGGTAGTTTGGGTGTTTGGCATATTTGCACTGCTTTGGGGGTTTGCACTGCTTTGGGGTGTCCCTGGTCAAGAGTAGAAAGACTGTCTGTCATTGAACGTAAGAGAAAATGGGATTGTTTTGTTACTCACCAGAAAAAACCCTTTCTCTGAGTTCATTGACTGATACAGCACCTGCCCCTCTTCTTGTGTTTTCTTCCCATCTTTTTACACTGTTTTGTGACTAATTGGCTTGCCTAAAGCAGGGAGGGGTTTTATACCAGCTAGGACTTCCCATAGGCGGTGCTGTGTGGTGTTTTTTTTTTTTTTCTCTGCCTAGTGTCCTACTCCTGTAGGGGGTGCTGTAAACCCTATGGTCCAGAATAGAAAGGCTGTGTCCGTCAACTCGGAGAAAATGATTTTACAGTGATTAACAAAAAATCTGTATGTGTGTGCGCGTTCTTAAAATTGTATGATTTCTCAGTTTAAACATTTGATGTTTTCTATTGTGAATAAAATATAGCGTCACAATGTTTTTGGAATTGGGGTTGTAAGAAATGCATGTATTATGTGTGTTTGTGTCTGAAAATTGGAAAATCTTCCAATTGTAAAAGATCAGAAATCTTATTCTATGTGTTTGTGTCTTACAGCTGTACTTCCAAATGATATAAAGTACGCAACTGAAAAGATGGATCCCTTAAGAGCTCAGCAACTGGCAGCAGAACTTGAGGTGGAGATGATGGCAGATATGTATAACCGGTGAGGGAAAAAAAAGCATTCTATCTCTTTTAAGCACTTTAGGGTTTTATCCCTTCATGAGAAGAGCATTTTTTTTGCTATTCAGCACTCTGCTGCTTTAACTTTTTTTGTTTTACAAAAGATTTCATTAAATTTTTAAGATATTTAATCCAAAATACACAAAACTGCACAGGAAGATGCAATACTGGGAGTGAGGTAGGGCATAACAGACGCAGGTACACGATAACAATTATGTCTGAACACAAGAGCAATACACAGAGATGCATCAAACATGAATAAAATCTATATGTGTGCAGAGCCAGCATCATCACAACAGAAAAGGCTTCCCAGTAGAAGAGCATCCTGACCTACAAAGCTTCTTCCTGAGCAAGAGCAGAAGAGGGGGTGGGGAAGACCAGAAATGTCCAAGAACACCAGTGAAAGGAAGGGAAGAAGAGTAAGGAATAGCCGCCTGTATTCCACAACAGCTTGTGGTTAGAAAAAAGGGGGAGAGAGACAAAAAAGAAAGGCATTTGCCTGGGGGGTGGAGAGAGGAATGGAGGTTAACCCGCACAATCCAATCAACTGTGTAACCCTATCAGGCTATCAGTTCTATGGATAGCAAAGAGCGGTCCAGACCCATTTGACCATTAAAGACAATCTAGGGGTCCAAGATCTCATTGAGTATGGGTGTCTGTTAGGATAGATGTGAGCTTATCATCGACCATGGTCCTTATGAGCTGCTGTTTGAACTCTGGCGCCAAGTTCTGCCAGGAAGTTGAACCCCACTGACTTAGTATGATTTGAGATTAGGGACTGCTAAGCCCCCCGATGTTAGTCTACGGAACAAAGCTGATGAAGGTAGTTGAGGCCTATGGCAAAGCCAAATGAAGCAGAGTACCTTGCGCTGCTCAATACAAAGGATATGGTTCGATATAGAGATTGGGAAGATTCGAAAAAATAAAGGCGTTTTAATCAAGTACGTATTACCTAAAGCGTGGATCCTGTCAAGCCAAGAGATATGGAATGAGGCCCAGGAGGTAGCAAGAGTTCCCCAAAAAAAGGGGGGGACAATTAGCCTGCTAAAGAGAATCGTATAGTATGAAGATTCACCCTGTTTTTTTACATATGGCTATTTAAACCATTTCATGAAAATCCTTTCTCTGGAAGAATTCTTCCACCTCCTCCATCTGTTGAGGTACAGGGTGAAGAAGAATATGTGGTGGAGAAAATTCTCAACTCTAGGATGTTTAGAAAAAAATTGCTATATCTTGTTCAATGGGAAGGATATGGGCAAGAGGAGAATTCTTGGGAGCCTGAGGAAAACGTTCATGCTCCTAGATTAACAAGAGAATTCCACCAGAGGTTTCCCCACAAGCCTGGTCCTTAGACATCCAGCGGACGTCCTGTGAGGAGGGAGTACGGTTAGAGCCTGGGTCTAAACCTGGGCCATCTGCGGTGAGGTGCAATGTTTTTCTTCTTGCTGAGCCACCTGGAATGCTGGATAGCTCCCTTGACAATTATTTGGATGATCCTGCCTTGACCTTGTTTGTCATGAACCTTGAACCCCTTGCTTCTCCCATGAACTTCCTGATATAAGCCATGTCTCTGCACTTCCTGTTTGCCAGATTATTGTGCTCTCCAGCCAGTATCTTACTCCTTGCCTTCTCTACCGTCATCCATATTTTGCTACCATTCGTTATTGACCCTTGTCTTGCTTTCGACTACGCTACTGCCTGATCCCAACCTGCGACTGCTCATTACCAAACTTGGCTTGTTTGCTGACCACTCTTCCGTTTGATCCTTACCTGCTTCATACGCTACTGGACCTCCGCTTGCTCACCTCCGGGTGGGGTGATCCTGAGGACCGCGACTTGGTGCTAACACGTAGTAAAATCCATCTCCACCATCAGGAGCTCTGGTGAACACCGCTTAGTACTTATACTCTGCACCTCAGGTGAGCCCACTCCTCTGCCACGGTGACCTGCCTGTGTACCTATCCTGGTTTCGGTGTGAGCCTTTCCACTGCTATAGCAACTGTTCTTCGAGCCTGACCCCTGATCATGACAGAAAGAAAGCTCAATTTGTGGGGAAAAAAGAAAGTAAATTTCATTTGGGTGCAGTAAATTGGGTGCAGTAAATTTCATTGCATGGCCGTGCAATTGTCAGTTAAAGTAACGCAGTGCCGTAACGCAAACTGCTTCTTTAACTGCTTCCTGATCGCCCTATAGCAGAAATCCTGCTACAGGGCAGCACGGGTGCGCATTATCACGTGTGTGTGTATATATATACGTGATTCGCGCTCCCGTGGTTTTCACACCCCTCCCAGGTTGCCCGTCAGTACACCAGTAATCACATTTAACCCCTTGATTGCCAGGGACACACTCATACACCATAAACCTCCATTTTAGTATAGTTTGTGAATGGATCAATATCTTTGATCCGATCAGCTCTATACCAGCATTCACATTAGTATAGTGTCCCCAAAAACACAGCGTTAGTGGGATCAGCCCCGGCACCTGCCAGCACCTGCGTTTAGCCCGTAAGCTTCCCCCCCCTTCACTGTCACTTGATACATTGCACACAAAGTTACAGTGTTCGCAGAATCAGTACCCGTACTTCCTCCCCTTCACTGCCCAACCCGGAATTCTGGTGAAAACCGCAAATTCAATGACTCCTTGATTTTTTTGGAGCTGTTTTTCACGGAAGATCTGTATTCATTGATTGATTGTATATCAAAGCAATTTATATGCATGACAATTTATCGCCGCCAACCCAAATTCAAACCTTGCCAGACCATTCGCATGGAAACCCATTACGGTTCCTGAATTTAAATATTTTTGAGAGCCTAACCCTCAACATGGGCATTACTGAAAAAAATGAATTGCGGTTGTATTGGTCCACAGACCCGATTGATCATATGCCGTGTTCTCTGCTGCCATGGCCAGGCATAGATATGAGAGCATAATGTGTTTTATGCATTTCAACGACAATACACTCTGTCATCCTCAGGGTGACCCTGAATTTTACTGGCTCCACAAAATTCGTCCCCTCGTAAATCACCTTAACCAAAGATTTGCAGATGTCTGATGATGGGAGTCACTTTGGGTGGGGGGCCCATGGAATCCATTCACTTTGGAGAAGTGGGGAGACCCCTGTGTCAGCTCCCCATATCCCTATTATGTGTAAGTCACCCTGTGCCTGTTAGGGGTACAGGGTGATCTGTCCTAATATTGGGGTGGGGGGATGTTGATTGTTTAATGCCATGTGGTTGCATCCCATTGTTCTATTGTGTGTCTTGCTTGGGAGCAAACTATTATGGGATGCATGTTTTTATGTGTATTAGGTTAGTGGGGGTGTCTCCAGCAGCCCTCCCTCCTGATGGGACTGTCTGGTGTTATGAAGTTTGAATACCTGTGTGTATCTTCTTGTTGCTAAGTGTAGATTGGCCCACCCTGTGTCATTATGCAGGGAGGGGGGATTTTCCCGAGTGTATAAAAAGCCAGTTTGAGTTTCAAATAAAGAGTTCCATGTTCAGACAGACTGGTGTCGTCTAGTCTTGTTTGGTCGGCTGTGGTCGGTGTTTGGATGGGGAAGCGGTATTCTAACGGAAGTACCCAAGCGCAGACTGGGTCGGTTCCATTACATCTATACTCCCCAGCAAAAATCTGTGTTGAGGAGTACCTCATTTATTTTTCTGGCCGCCTTGCATTCAAACAATTTCTCCCCAGCAAGCATGCCAGATATGGGGTCAAAATGTAGAAGACCTATGAGAGGGCAACAGGCTATACTTATGTTTCAGATTTACGAGGGAAAAGATGTCACGTGGAGCCCCCCCGGATGCCCAGACTACATGAAGAGTAGTGGTAAGATAGTTTGGGAATTGGTGTCATCCTTTCTTCATATGGGCTACCACTTATATGTGGACAATTTTATTCAAATGTGCCACTATTTAGACATTTGTTCAATCTTGGAATTGGTGCATGTGATACCGTGCGGCCTAATGTGTTTCCACCATTAGAAGTGGGTGGATTCAGGGCGGTATATTCTAATGGTGGGCATACCACACACTTTTTCTGGCAGAGACTTCTCGTTTTTTTCATTCAGCCCACAGGCTGCATACAAAAAAAAAGAACAGCATATATACCCAACAAGGACCAGCGACTTACTGGTACATCACTGGACTTTGAATGGTTATACCAGGATGATGCCTACAGCTGCAGGCGTCATCCTGGTATCGTTTTTTTCAGCCAGCGATTGCCTTTCATGTAAAAGCAATCCTAGTGGCTAATTGACTGCAGGATTGCTTTTACAAACAGCGGGAGACGATGCCTCCCTCCTTCGCTGCCTTTCACAGCCTTCTTGGGCAGTCCCGTGCCATCGAGGGAACCTCAGAATGCAGTTGGTGTTTCTGCCAGCTGACCATAGAGCTGATTGGAGACCGGAATGGTGCAAATCATCTCTATAGCCTAAGAAATTGAAAGCTATGAGCATTTCATCACTTCAGTTTCGCAGGATATAAACATCGCCATTTGTAAATTGGGAAAGCATCTGATCACACCGCTCTTAAGTGAGATTGGATAATGTAAGGGCAGAGGAGATATCTAGAGTCTGATAGACCCCCGATTTATCAAAAAATAATGTATGACAATGCCCATTAAAGTCATAGGGGATATTTGCATTCCCTGTGATGCCATTAAATGTGATAAAAATCAAAATAACTTAAAAAAAACAAAAAAAAGCACCCTCACCTCCCTGCGCGAATCGTTGAAGCTGTGCCGGTATGTAAACAGTGGTTGCACCATGCAAGTGAAGTATTGCCGCGAGCGTCAGTTCAAGGGCACTAGACATCCTCTGTAAATCTATAATTGTAGCTTGTAAAGGCTTTTGAAGCATTGCCTATGGATATTAAAAATGTATGCCATTTGTCGCCATTGCGTGGGGCATGCTCAGTTATAAAACATGTCGTGTTTGGTATCTATTTACTTGGCATACCATCGTCTTTTATATTCCACCAAATA